CCCCAAAACCCCAAAACCCCAAAACCCCAAAACCCCAAAACCCCAAAACCCCAAATATTTCGAAATATATTGTCACAGTATTTAAAAATAAGTATGGAAAACAAGATCAGAAACAAAAGATATGAAGGTATGATGGAGTCTTTAACACTATTTCTGAACAGCTAGAGTAACTGGAGAGTGTTCTTTGGATGCTAGGAGTTACCCTTACTATGTTATGAAGTTCTAACTGTATTTTAGGTAGAGATTATAGCTCAAGAAGGACAGATTTTGCCACTATTGATTATAATGACCTTGAAGATATCCATATTGAGGACCTAAAGTAAGCATATGCATTTAAAAAATAGAAAAGAAGTTAATAGAGCTAATGCCAAGAGTAAGGAAAATTATAACCCCATTTCTAGAACAACGCATTGAAGTAGATCTTGAAAAACTCCAAACTCAGGAGACCCGCTTTCAATCTTTATTAAACAGAGCTGAAAAATTCAGCGGTGGTAAGAGAAAAAGGGAAGAATCTGAAGAAAAAGCTCCCTCAAAAAGAGCCAAAATTAACGAAAAAGACGAACCAAAAGAGGCCTCCAACGAGCCCCCCAAAGAGACCCCCAAACCAAACAGCTTACAAGAAAAACTACGAAGACTTCAAGAAAAGAAGAGCGGTAAACCCCTCCCCCAGACACCATCTAAAGACGAAAAGGAAGAGAGCAGCCCTGCAAAGACCCCTAAGACTCCCCTCGGTAATGGAAGACCCTTTAACTTTGTCAATGTACTACAGAAGGCTAAATCAAACCTCAGTGCAGAAACATCCAAGCTCAACCAGAGAGAGAAGGTCAATGAGAAGATTTTTAGGAAGAAGATTGATAAGGTATCATAAGTTTTATAAAATGTAGATAGTAGAGTCTAAAGATGAACTGGAAAGAAAGAAGCTAGAGAACGAGAAGACTGTGATTATTCTTAATCATAAGTACCAAACACTTAAGAAGATTAAGGTAAGCTTAGAAGCCTGGTCAGGTTATTTTATTTATCACTCTTCATGACATCTCTCAGTCCACATCAGCCCTACCAATAGCACTCATATTTTATTTAGACTTGCCAGATGATGAAGAACCACCTATCAACTAACTGAGAGCCGAAGATATTCTGGAAACCAGCCAAAGGAGAACTTGAAGGCCTTATTACGAAGAACAGAGAGAAGTACGAACACCAGATTAAGATCATTAAGGATGAGTCCTTAAAGAAACTCAAGGAGAAGGTAAGCATATTTCTGCTCCTTTTAGTAAGAAGAATTCACCCACATTACCTCTTTTATAGGTCGATGAGCAATCTGGGAAATCTGAGGATAAAAGTATTAAAGAGGTTGAGTAATTTCAATTATTGAGGTACTAATTGGGGTTTTGGGGTTTTGGGGTTTTGGGGTTTTGGGG